CGATCCTGATCCTGATCTCAGTCCCCGTTCTGAGCCTCACACGGCCCTTCCAGCACGGACACCGCAGGTGAGCAGCGCGGGGGGCGGTGGTGAGGCGGAGACCCGTGGCCCCCAGCGTCGGGGCGGCACCGGGGCTCTTGGACTCCCCTTTATGTCCCGTGTGCGGCCCAAAACGGAGTCTCCGGATGTGTCCGCGCCGGTGCTGATGCAGCGCTGAAATGCAGATGCTTCTCTGGGAGTGGCACAAATCTTGGGTGTTCCAGGTGACGCGTAAAGGAAAAAAAAAGGGGAAAAAAAGGCACTGTTTTGAGAAGAGCAGCTTTCAGCAGGAGAGCCCTAGTTATCCCGCAGCCAGTTCGTGTTCCGGAGTTTTCACAGGCTTTACATTAGTTAATTTTTCTCGTGCTGAGTATTCAGCATTCATATCCCCGGTTGTAGCTGGTGAATATCTCCCTATTCTGACTCCATCCGAGGACACACGGTGGGATTCTTGGAATATCCTGTGCAGGGCGATGATCCTGTGCTGGCCAGCAAAGACAGTGATGGTCAAGAAGGAAAAAGTAGAAAACACATCCATGTTTGAGGATGGATTTTCTGAATCAGCAGACTTACATTTGATCCCTCCTGTAAAGTATGATTCTGGCCATGTGACCTTTTATTTTTTGCTGCTTTATGGTCTCGTGTCCGTTGATGCTGTCGCGTTGCTGTTGGAAAATAAACGTGAGCACAGAAACTTCTGTGTGTGTGCCCTGGATGTGAAGCCTTTCTGCTCACCAAATCTTAGACTTTGTTGCTTTTTCGTGAGGAAGAGTCGAGATATTGCTGAGGATCACCTATGTAGTCTTGAAATTAATAAGATACGACCCATGTTCTGTTAATAAAAATTTAGGGAGAAGCCACCCCTGACTCTTGCCTACTTGTCTTGCTGAGCAGTGCAGTGTTTTGCCAGCAGCCCCAGTGTTTGTGGGAGGTTACCTGGTTGTGTGAACAGTGTATCAGAGGGGGCAGCAGGTTAATATTGTAATCAGAATTTTTTACAAACCAGGATTAAATGTTTTACTTGCGGGTGTGAGGTGACCCACGCTGTCCAGTTTCCAGCACAGCTGCCTGTGACATGGGTGGTGCTGAGGTCAGCTCTGTGACAGAACCTGGATTTCCACTGCTTTTCCTTGTTCTCCAGACTGCTGGCTTTGATCCTGTGCCCACGTGGTGGTGGTGAAGTCAGACCACTCACTCTTTGTTTGTCTTTCATCTGTCACCTTTCAGCCAGGTTCACTGCAGCCCAAACAGGACTTCAGCTATAGAATCACACAGCACTTTGGGTTGGAAGGGCACCTTGTCGTGTTCTACTCCCTGCCACGGCAGGGCCAGCTCCCAGTGTCCCAGGAGCTGCCAGCCCCAATGTCCAGCCCGGCCTTGGGCACTGCCAGGGATCCAGGGGCAGCCCCAGCTGCTCTGGGCACCCTGTGCCAGGGCCTGCCCACCCTGCCAGGGAGGAATCCCATCTAATGCTACTGTCTTTCGATTTGAGCCTGCTCCCCTTTCTCATTCACTGCAGACGCTTGTAAATAGTCTTGTCCCACCTCCACTCTAGCCCCCTTCAGAACTGGAAGGCCACAGTTATGTCACCCTGCAGCCTTCTTATCTCCAGGCTGAACAATCCCAACTGCCTTCCCCTCTCCTCACAGCAGAGCTGCTCTATCCCAACGATCAACTTGATGGCCCATAATGTAGCAGTCTCTGCTGTTTTGCAGGATCATGGATTTCCCAGGGCACTTTGAACAAGTCTTCCAGCAACTCAACTACCAGAGGCTCCATGGGCAGCTGTGTGACTGCGTCATTGTGGTGGGGAACAGGCACTTCAAGGCGCACCGCTCCGTGCTGGCCGCCTGCAGCACGCATTTCCGCGCGCTCTTCACCGTGGCCGAGGGCGACCAGACCATGAACATGATCCAGCTGGACAGCGAGGTGGTGACGGCCGAGGCCTTCGCCGCGCTCATCGACATGATGTACACGTCCACGCTCATGCTGGGGGAGAGCAACGTGATGGACGTGCTGCTGGCCGCGTCCCACCTGCACCTCAACTCCGTGGTGAAGGCCTGCAAGCACTACCTGACGACGCGGACGCTGCCGCTGTCGCCGCCGAGCGAGCGCGCGCAGGAGCAGAGCGCGCGGCTGCAGCGCTCCTTCATGCTGCAGCAGCTGGGGCTCAGCATCGTCAGCTCGGCGCTGGGCTCCGCGCAGGGCGCCGAGGAGCCGCCCGGTGCCATGGGCCCGGCG